ACATATAAAAATTATAAAAATCAAATAAGTTATATAGTAAACTAGGGAAATCAAGCCAAGTACCGAAATTATGGATTAGATTTGGGTTTATAGAGCATGTAGATTAACAGATAGTTGCCTGTTTTTAAAGTTAATGCATAAAAGTAACTTTTAAAATCAGGTGTCATTTCCGGTTATAATAAGGTACTCTGTGACAGAAACTGAGTGATGATTGTGAATGAGCCACAGATTAGAGAGAATTTTGAAACTCTCGTTAACCAAAGAAAGCTAAGAGATTTAGGTTCTATAGCCATATATTCAGTAGCTTCATTATTTTTGTTATGTTTTTAAGATAACCATATTTATTTATAGTCAGGGAACGTAGGCCCATAGATAAATACCTTAAAGTCTAACATATATACAGATTATAATGTGTTTATAGAGGTGTTTGGCGAAAAATGTATGGCAATAGACTATGATGTCGCCTACCATCTATAATAATTGTCTGAGCAGATTTGCATCTAGTGAAAATGATAATATAGTTGTGGATATTAATAGCACAGTCTAATAAAAAAAATGATTTATTTTATTGATCTTTACAAAATAGATTTGTTTTTATGTTATTTATATAAACAACTTCGATCAGTCTTTGGCTGAATTTTACTACACCCATAGCCATTAAAAATGATTCGTATGAAATCAGAAATCAATATATCTTTATTCAAATTGGATGTATAGTACAACACTTTTGAATCGTCCAAACATTTTTTTTCCCTACCACTCGTTATTGGACATATTTTTTAGCTGCGGAGAAAAACGAGCGAAAAAAACTCCACAACATTAAAAGCATAATGTAACAACATTTACAAATCATTATGTTGTTACAACGTCAATACAATCATGATTTATTTAATATAGAAAACCTGTTGGAATGATTGGAACAGTTCAAACCCAAGCATTTTTGTCTGTAATATAATCAGACACTTTGTAATAAGCTTTTTTAATAAGTGCTTTTTTTATACTATCTTTGAATTTATTTATGCTTAACTCTTGGATATTGCTTGGGACTTTATTGTATAAGCGAACACAAAGACCTTTAAATGAATTATTGATTTTGTGAAGCCTAGTAGCAGGTAAAGTTAGTTTATTTTTGTTTCTTGTATTAAGTGTGTGAACATCACTGTTTTTAAGAAACAAATTAATATTTTTTCTTACAAGTAATAAATTTTCGTAAACGTATTGTGATGCGACCGTCATTATACCAAATTCTTTAAACCTATCTCTTAAGGAATCCTTAACTTTAAGATTATAAATTGATCGAATAGCTCTCTTCTGCAGCACAAAAATAGTTTGAATGTCGGCGGCGTTTCCCCACAATAAAATTCCGTACGACATTACACTATGGAAATAACTAAAGTATACTAATCTGGCCGTATCTACATCCGTTAACTGGCGTATTTTCATTACGGCATATGCTGCAGAACTAAGTCTATTTGACAATTTATCAATATGTGGGCCCCATTGAAGCTTAGAATCTAAAGTAATCCCTAAGAATACTGTGGTGTCTACAAGGCATGGGCCTTGTATTCCTATCCTTTACATTCACACTGGTTTTTACCTGTTTTACATTAGGTAATACAAATTTAATACATTTCGTTTTTCCTTCATTTAGTAATAAATTATTAACATTAAACCAGTGGACTACCTTAGAGAGATACAACTGTTCACGTCGTCAATAACTGTTTCCTTACGTTTGAGTTTAAATAAAAGTGATGTATCATCCGCGAACAATACTATCTCATGCTTATCTCTAACGTAGTAAGGTAAGTATGTTTTCCAAACCGGTAAAATTAAAAGTCCTTTTTAAAGTAAATATATTTTACAAAGGTGTCCGTTGGAATCTAATGACTGTAAATTAAATTATAAATTACGCCAAGAATTACCGTGTATGTCTATATTTTTTGTGCATTTGGGCCAATTTGAGCAATCTCCTTTCGGTAACGAACGAATTTTAAACGAAATTTCGCCATTGACTCTATTTCATTTTCGAACAGGCACATAAAGTTCAGAACAACAAACAGTTTTCGTGAATGAATGGAATGAGTCATGTTTGTGAGTTCTTTTTATCTCTACTTTTAAGATTACGTTTTTCTTACTTGGAAACAATATAGGTAGGGCAAATTTTTTGATGACATAGAAAGAACCTTCTTTGACAGTGTTAACCAACTAATTTGTAGAGTTGATACAATGTATTGTATGTAAACCTAAATTTGTCGTTTAATACTTTGAAGTATTTGAATTACATTAAATAATAAAAAATGGTTTATTTGTTAATTACATGATAAAAAGGTTTCTCGAGCTAGCCTGGATTGAAAATACTCTTGCAAGCAACGATATTTTTTGAGTAATTCAAAAACTTTGAATAACTCATAAAATATTATTTTTACGAAAAAACGTATATAATATTTTTTCTTAGAATTACTTTTTCTGTCCATTCCTACAGTTAAAATGTAATAAAAAATTTCCACCCCCGAGATGGGGTATGGGAACGTAGGTATAGTTTGATCGAATCGACGAAGACGGCCGTTCATTTCGTATTAAAAAAACTCATACTAAGGGTACTGTACTGCAAACATTTGTTCGCTCGGTAACGATGATTCGAACGACCTCTCCATAAAAAGTCAAGGTAAAATACAACAATATTTAACCCTACTAAAACCCTATTAAAACCTACAACAACAACACAAAATCGTGGCAGAATTACATTGGATGATCCACAGAGCTCCTTGGGATAATCGCCTAGCATATAACATTAGGTATTAAACATTGAAAAGTCAGCATTAATAATAAAAAATTACTAATATTAAAAATGTGAAAGTTTGTATGTTTGTTACTCAATCACCCAAAAAAGGGTGAACGGATTTGGATGAAAATTGGCACACATATAGTTTGTTACCTGGATTCAGACAAAGGATACTTTTTATCCCGGAAAAGTGTTAGATTCCTGAGAAATTCAATATAAGGTCTTAATTTCAATGCCGGTTCACACGGTTAACGCCAGTGGCCGCCACACGCTTCGTGGAATATAATATAAAATGAAATAAAATATACATATCTTGTATCTATCTCTAGTATTTCAAATACTTTTTGTATCTAAATACGTGACTACCTAGTTTCTTGTATGTTGTATTTTAGATACTAGATTAGGTGATCTATTACATCTTTGACTGTTAGGTAACAGTAACCCTTAGAATCCATACTAATATTATAAATGCCAAGTGTGTCTGTCTTTCTGTCTATTACCTCTTCATGCTTAAACCTTCTGAACCGATTTAGATAAACTTCGGTGTAGAGCTGTAGTGTAGACTATAGTTTTTGTTCTCAGGCTTGTATTATACACAATGACATTCTAATAGGTACCTAATTACAATAGGCACGCGCCGCCAAGTCCCCCGCCCGGTAGCGTCGGAACCGCTATGTCCCTGCATTTTAAATATGTAATATCTTCGAAAATATTCATTTAAATTACATGCGTTAAAGGGCCAAATTGGTCTACATTAAATGCACAATGTATTTAAGGTTAAGTACCTTAAATACATTGTGCATTGAATATATTGGATAAGGATGAATGATATATTGCTGAAAATCGCTTTGTAAATAATCTATTATTTTTCGTAAAAAGTATAGGGTATTTTTTTTATTGTTGGTTATCCCTAAGAGATGGACATATACCATCGCAGACTTTTTTGTAGACCTTTTTAAGGTGTACAATACTGTAGTACATTATTTTGATCTATCTCGTAGGGTTCAGCCAGCGTTTGCAATGTAAGCAAAAAAAATGAGTTTATTTACGATCTTACATTAAAAACCTCTAAAATTATCAATGTTTCTCTACTATATTATGCATAATAGGGACAAACAGCGGGAAGCGACTTTGCTTTATACTATGTAGTGATTATGGTATTTGATGCTTTTTGTTTTGTATTCTGTATTGGTGAATTCATTCATTCATTCCCATATTCACTCCCCGCAATAGGCTAGTTCACCCTTTTTGGAAAAAGGTTTTAAATGGTTAATATATGTTCTATTAGACCGAAAAAAAATGTATACTATTTTTTGGAGTCCTAGAAAGCTACAAATCTTTAATTTTAAAATAGACTTTTCATATACATACAAAAACGCTGTCGGCCATTTTAGTCTATAGATTATCTATGCTATGACGTCGACGGTAGTAAACAAAAACTCGTGAGCACGTAGAAAATAACCTCTCTGAGTTTCATCCTTGAAGACTCGGAAAGTTGTGGATTAAAGTGCCGAAAGAAATTAACCTACGCAATACCTGGTTAGAAGTTGCTAAAAGTGATCCTGCAACTTTATCGACTCATAGTAAAATTTATTTTTGCGAAGATCACTTTGATGGAAGTACTCATTGAATAATATTTTAAGTCTCTTCATTTATTATTAGTTTTAATAATACAAGTTTTAAAGTTATGTATGAATGACATTTAGTTGTTTACTCAAAGAGACGTCACAATCATGGCGGATGTGGCGAACAGCGGCTTTAGTGTTTAACTAAAACTTATTTTTTTAAATTAAATTTCTACAGCAATCTTCTGCTTTTATGAAGTGAAATCGATATATTTAGGTTCCTTATACCAAATACTTTAAGAAATAAACATTTGTTTAATACTAGCCTATTATAGCGACATCTATGACAGCAAAGTTAGTTCACGACTTTGGTTCACAGTTTCACAAGGGTTCACGCGGTTCAAGTTCACGTTTTGTAGAAGTCATTTTAATTACCCCTCAAAAGGTGTCGCTGCTAATTATATTTAAGAGGTACTTGCAGCGGCTTTGAACTTGAATAAAATACACTGAATTTAAATTTATAACATAGTCGCCATGCCTAAATTGCCTAAACTTGATCCATGACCATAAATGATTAACAAATTGATCATAGATAACAAATATGATCGGGGGGGAAATGTCACTTTGATGTTTACTTTGAATCATAAATAGGTACGTGTTTCTGGCTTAGATTTCAGAAAATTTTATTATTTTAATTTATTACCATAACACTATAAGGCATTATCACAATCATAATTATACTAAACGGTTTACCAAATTTAAAGTAAATATTCAATTAAAGAGCGAAGTTTCCCAATATAAAGAAATTATCATGAATTGCTAATAAACACTGGTAATTAATGATCTTGCTAACAACTTCTAATTAAAAAAAAAGGGGATCATATAACCTATTTTTTAAACATTTCGGATGTTAATTGTACTATTTAAAGTCTGTTAGACTTGTGCTTTGTTCAAAATTTAAGCGATAAATAGTATTCACACAGAAGTCAATAAGCTTTCATGTTTAACTAAAGTAGATACGATTTTCTTTGTGTTAACTAAAGAACGTTGTCTAACTAAAGAATCTTTTGATTTCAGATACGTGTAGTTAAATTAAATTACCTAATTGGACTTTTCTGAGTACGGCGATTTTTTAACTATCAATTCCAAAATAGGACCTTAAGCTTCATCTGGACATTTTACGACGGTAACAATAATTAAAAGGTACATAAGCATTTGAAATATTATTGGCCTTGAGATGCCTTCAGCCTTGAATAGAATCTAAAGTGGGCGTGATAAGGCTCCTGCTGCTTGCAATTACCTACATGTAACTTGAAGTTGCGTAAAAAATTGAGTCTCAAAGTTTTCCTATCATTCCCTTCTGTGAAGAATATTAAAATTTGAAAAGGTACCAAGAAAATCGTTGCTCTCTCAATACCTACGTTAATTAAGTTTATAGTATTATGATTATAGTATGGTATCCTTGTTGACACAGCAAAATTTCCACTCCATCTGATGTTAAGTGTAAGTAAAGTTCAGTTGCGAAAGTAGCTGTGTGGCAGAATAGTGAGGGCGCTTATTAACGACCGGTTTTCCGCTGGGTCTAGGCACGGTTTCTACCCGGGCCGGTGCCGGCTAAGCTTGTTCACGAGACAGTTAGTGCGTTTGTGCCGATCCCAAATCGTGGCTAGCGCCGGTGTCGTTAATAAACCTCCATATTGTCTCATACTTAGCTAACAACCGGACGTAGAACTGTACCCCTAGCACGAACCAATATCGAATTCGTATCGTTTGGGATTCCGAAATGTCATTGTCAAATGTGTAATGATTTTTAGTTCTCGTGCGTACTTTGTGCCGCTGCTGTTGCAAGTTTCCATACAAAATTTGATATTGACATTTCGGTTTGCATACCATTCGAATTCGATAATGGTTCGTGCTAAGGGTACTGTACCCCTAGCACTAACCAATATCGAATTTGTATCGTTTGCGAGTCCGAAATGTCATTGTCAAATGTGTACCTACTGATTTTTAGTTCTCGTTACGTACTTTGTGCCGCTGCTGTTGCAAGTTTCCATACAAAATTACACATTGACATTTCGGTTTGCAAACTATTCGAATTCGATATTGGTTCGTGCTAGGGGTACTGTTTAAAACCATGCCTAGACCCGGGTACAAATCATCTCGTTAATAAACGCCCTGACTTGCTCCAGACACCCTTACCTCGGACTGAAATAGGTTTCCCTCGTGTTCCTACTAATAGGATAAATCAGTATAACTACGAGAAAACAGGTCGGGGGTCCTGGACTCTTACTCACTAACAGAAACAAGTAATGCAATTTAATGTGTGTTTTATGAAAAGTTAGTGGTGCCTTTACCAGACGGTCGCATCCATTCCCGTGGAAATCTTGAGAGAGGTACGACAAAAGAATTTGTGAGACTCATGGAATTAATATCATTTGTTATCAGTGATATAAATAATGCACTCATAAATAAATTAATCAAACACTCTTGATTGCAGATTCAATATCAGAATCAATGTTTAAACCAAATGAATTTCTGCATACAAAATTCAAAATACGTAAACGAGTTCTCACTTTACAAATTTTTATTCTATCAGTATTTGCTGTAATCGTCTTCAGAGAAGGTTAGTGTTGTTTTTCCCTTTAGAGAGAGAGAGGGGTAGGTTACAACAGACGGACTGCTTAAATAGGAGCTTCTATCCGTGGAAACAATCTCCATAAAAGCACATAAAAATAATGATAAAGGACAATGGGCAAAACATATCCATCTCCGCCAACAATGTAATTAGTATGAATCGATAGATGTATGAAAAACTAGCCTTTTTTATTATGAAACCGAAAAAAAAATATCCTGGTAGTCTAAAGATATGACACATGGGCATATTTAAGTAGGTAAATAAAATTCATTTTATAGTACCTTCATTTTATATTATTAGTAACCATAATAATATGCCATATATATGACAAAGCCGCCGATCCATCCTGCGCTTGCAAGTGCACAAGTAAGTACTGAGCCACCTCAAAACGGTTTACGGGGGTTGAAGGACTTGCATTTGCAAATAGTGTACTCGTCTTACTTCGTTGTGATTGTGCGCTCTCTGTCACTTTATTGGTTTTTATCTAACACGCTTTGGACATTAGAACACGGTTATCGGTTTTGTCAATTAGTATGGATGAACTGGAATCATGTTTTCTCCGAAGCGTGGACAAGGTTGGGTGATTTGTGGACGCTCCGTTTTACAAAGAAGGCAATTTACTATAACGAACAGAATATTTGAAAAAACTCCAACCCATGCGGTGATTTTTAGATTTACTCTAGCGCTGCAGTATAACATAAGGGGAATCCTTGAACCTTGTGAAGTACTCCCATAATACCTGAGCCCCCTATGTAGTTTCGAACTAACTAACGAAATGAATTCCCTTGATTCATTAATGTTCGTTCGTTATAGTACGTGTACCTATTTAACTTAAAATAACTTAAGACTCCCGGTATAGAATTTGATGCACTTTGGCACAGATGATCATGACTATAACACCTTTCAAACAAATGTAGTTTAAGCCATGGCGGACGTGGGTGCAGCGTCCATACATTTTTGCCCAATGTCCTTTATTTTGAAAGCAACTTAGAAGAATTTTTTTTGGTAGTATACATTTAATATCTATGTTAGTAGGTACAGCTTAAGGATAGATATAATCGATAAATCATTACCGCCACCATCCAAGTGAAATGGAGCAACAATGTACAATATAAGGACAGTCAAACCTACGACCTATCATAATAAGAATAGTCCAACACTATTGGCTGGCCCTAACCGCGTACTATCGAAGAACACCGCGCGCTCACTGTGCTATAAAATCAATTTACCTTAGCTTCCGCAAACATCGCCGATGCACTCCAGAACTTAGGCAGCCCCATCAAAATTCTAAAAGTATTATTATATACCTACTCATCAAAAAAGTCTTAGCAACATGTTGTACGGTTTTGAACTTTTGAACGATTTTTACTATTGATTAATATTTTTAAAATACATATACTATTCTTAACACAATCGAAAAGTTTATATTTTTAAAATCAGCCAACTTTATTTTCGAGATACAAATAAGATTATATACTAATCTAATTTTGTAAAAAAAAACATACAGCCGCCTCAAACCACACATAAAAGCACTCAGCAGCACCATGTCATCGGCGTGACTGATATTATTCATACAAACACTGGATCCTGGTGCTACCACACCAGCCCAGCCCCAAAGTACGCACTGTAAGGCTTGTGTTATGGGGATACTAGGATAACGGATAGAATACATATACTGATACATATATATATATTCATAAAGAAATAAATATTAAACATCCATGACTGGAGTACAAATGCTCGTATTCATCACACCGCTCGAGTCGGCGACACCATGAAACCCGGCGTACAAACCACTCGGCCACGGAGATCGTCAAAATGTCGTCATATGAAAAAGAAAAAAATGTAACATCAGCCATGCGAGCGTCGTTGAGCGAGTATTATCTTTGATAGCTCTTGTCGCTCAGCGACAAACTAGTGGAGCAAGTTCTCGCCGGCAGGCTGTGTGAACAGTGAGCGATCAACTGTTAATATATGCATCGCTTTTATTTACATGGAATGTATATCTATTGTACGATTTTTGAACGAGAAAATAGCCGATAGTTAGGTTTCGATCTTTCAGTGTTAGTTCTAAAAAGATTTGTGTGCACGGACCACACATCTAAAGTGAAAATTATTTTCTTCAATAACCTATCATTAGGCGGTGCATAAGGCATAGGGGAATGGAGCAGTGCCCGCAACACTCATATCTAATATATAAAATTCTCGTGTCACGGTGTGCGTAATTGAACTACTCCGAAGCGATTAGACCGATTTTCGTGAAATTTTATATGCATAGTTATTGTTTTTTGACAATTTTTTGGTTTTATTTTTTATGATACACCATACAAAAATATATACAACCCTAAATTTTCACCCTTTCTACCACCAACCCCTATTTTGTATGGCGGTACGAAGTTCGCTGAGACAGCTAGTATATGTATATACAAATATATATAGGTATATATTGTCGCGTGTGACGCTCGTAGCGTTTCAGCCTTCGCCGAGTTACCCTCCAACTTTCATGCTCGTCGGAAAGAGCTGCGCACGCATCCCTCACACACACACACACACACACATATATATATTTACATATTATTATATAATTATGTATAATATATATTATATAGTCGTGTGACGCTCGTGACGCATTTCCGTTTCATCTTTTCCATAGGATTTTTCCATTTACACCCCGGCCGAAAAAACGTTTCACCTTAAAAAGTAAAGGTAGTTAAGGTCGGAAAATGTGGTTTCTGTGGAAGCAAATGTTTCGCAATGACTAATGAAACCGCATAGAGCTCACGTAAATAGTCGTACCTAGTGGACCGATAAAATTTATGTTTGAGAGTTATTAGTATTTTAGCTATCAACTAATTAAATAGGTAATTATTATTTTAATTTCTAGTGCGAATTCTCAATGACGAAAGAAGAGAGCTTGAAGAAACCAAATTTTTATGTTTTGCTTGTAGCGAAAAAAATAAAGCAGTAAAGGTATTTTTTTATTTATTTTAACAACAAATATGGCTTCTTATATTTGTTTCTTAGGTTTTCACGCCCATCACTCATTAAATAAAACTAGTTTTTAACGGGTTAATGCACGAACTTTATTTATTTATTGACGTTTCGCAGCCTTTTCAGGTCTGCATCATCAGAATAATGTTTTTTTTTGAATAAATGAAATATAAAAAAAAAAATCTGACGATGCAGACCTGAAAGGGCTGCGAGACGTCAATATATAAATAAAGTTCGTGCATTAACCCGTTAAAAACTAGTTTTCTTTAATAAGAAGCCAATTAAATTAGACAATTAAGTAAAGCAACAGCAAAATAGAGTTCAGCAGCTGATAATTTTCTAGTTATAATACTAATATAAATAGACAGAATTTACTGATTTTTTTAGCCATTTTTTGAAAGACAATATTATTATACTGCATGGCACATATTGTTTTAAACTTTCATGGTCACTAACATTATAGCTATTAACGGGATTGTTACCATGTGACTTGTTTTTTATGAGTCTATATAATATCGGAGACTCATAAAAAACAAGGTGCATGGTAACAATCCCGTTAATAGCTATAATGCATGGCATATATTAAACATTTCTTTCGCTCCAAGCTTTACTTTGCAGCTTTACCTTGTTAATCAATAATTTAAATTTCAGCTTAATTCATCACTTTTGTTACAAAAGCAACAATCAAAATGGATACCATCATGGCAATTACATCACCCAAAAGCATCATGGCTACGAAGCATCCTCATTGCTTTAAATGGTGTGGTTTTACTTTTGTATTTTTTAATTTGCGGTTAATTTTAGTGAATAAAAAGCTATTTCTAGGCCAACAGCTATTAAAATTTATATAATCCCAAACTAAGCAGTGTATTAGGATATAAGTACATGATAACGTTTAAAAGAGTCATCAATAAATATTCGGAACTAAGTATTAGTAAATATATAAGTGATATGTAAATGGCTAATGGGTATAGAGTCTGCGCGGAAAGAGAATGGGATTTAGATTGGAGGGCGCTGTAGTGCTTTTCTACCGTATGTGTAAGGTTTTACCCCTTTTAGACATGATTAAGTACAAAAAACCGCAAGAAATCACAACAACAAACAAATCCGTATCAACACAAAACTTTGACGTTTTACAGATTGCTGGGTTTGATTGCCAAATTAAAATGTTAATGTTAGCTCCGTGTTTCGACACGCCCATTCTCTTTCCGCATAGACTTTAGCTGATTTTGCGCTCAAATTGAAGTGCCCGTCGGAAGTAACCTCCATATTATAGAAGATCAGAGTAAAATGACTCTTTATTTTGGTGATGGTGAGTTTCTGTTGGTGAGTAAGGTACTAGATCTGCACGAAACTGCCCAGAATTGGGTTCAGACTGGCAATGCACATATTTCTGCCAACTCATCTATATTCGCGACTGGCCTACATTTAGACTTAATCTCATCTCAGATCACGTGAGGTCGCGATTTGCATAAAAAGTAATAATAGGCAGTACGTGTCGCTTCCGACATAAAAATACAGTTTCCCCAAATATAATATATGGTTCACGCCCAAGCTGCTGAACCAATTTCGATGAATTTTGGTAGGTACCTATAGAGATAAAGATAACCTTGGTGAAAAACAAAGGCTTTACTTTGATTCGCAATTTAAATAAAATTTGAATTTTTGTATGGAAAACCTATTATTTTATGAGGGCAAAGCCACGCGCATCAGTAAGTACCCAAGTACTAATATAATTATATTATCGTCTCTACATAGTACCTAACATAATTGATTTAACTTATTTATAGGTACAAAAACCGTCACGGGACTGTACGATTTGAAAGCACTCAACTCGTCAAATTTTATTTTACCACATCTTAAAATGAGTGAAGATGGACTTATACCCGCTTTCCAAATGTCTGGTGGTAGACACTTGGTGGACACGGTTATAGGAGTGACCACGGTGAGAAGGGACAAAGCAGACTACTTGATAGAATCTTTGAAAGTGAGTTTAATTTACTTTCATTAATTCAAATTCATTTGACTTAAAAATCTTTTATCGCGTGCACTGCCCGTAAAATGAAAATATCAAAATGTTCTAATGTAACTGTTAAGACCTGTTATGTAGTTGTATCTTGTATAATGTGGGACCCTGTTCATACGTACCGTGCTAAAAACTTATCGATAATATTATAATATGTAATTTTTAAACGTCAGGAACTCATACATGGACTTACGGAGACTGAAAAAAATAATACTTTAGTAGTGGTTATGGTTGGTGAGATTGAATTAGAGTACGTTTTGTCTACCGCGAGAAACATCGAATCAAAGTACGTAGAGTTGTGGAATTATTCATTCATAGAAATTAATTCCTTACCATTTTGTAACTACTCATAAAATATTTTCTTTTCAAAATCTTCATTCAGAGCAGAAAACATAGCTGAGTCTAAGGCCAACAACATGAAATATTTTATTATTGACACAATTTTGAATGTTCTGGATTTGGTAATACTGCTAAATGTTGACTGCTCTGGGTTTTTATGTAGAAAATCTGAGACCAAATAACAATGAGTGTCGTTTGGGTCTAAGAGCCAAGCTTCTCGCTTTGTGACAAATCAAAGTGAACAGATGTACCTATTGCATAATCGTGGAAGATAAACTTTCGCAATGGTCAGCCATTCCAGACCAAAAACTTATTATATCTAGCTCCTTCGTTTTTCGGAACGTTTAGCTGTTGGTGCCAGCTACATCTGCAGTCGCATCCACCAATCCGCACTGGTGTGATGGCTCATGGCCCATTCTCCTTATGTCATCCATAGGAAAGACCTGTGCCCCAGCAGTGGAAACAGTAACAAGCTGATGATGACTAAGCAGAATTTGTTGTACAATGGAAACCAACTAAATAACGCATAGAATACACACGTTAACAACCACGACTTGTGTTCAAATATTCTGTGCTCACCACAAAAATAAATGCCCCAGCTGGGATTCGATCTGAGGACTATTGGAGCAGAATAAAAATCTTCGTTTGATTAATTCGCACAATGTGTCTGTCTTTTTTAAATTATAGGTTGCATACGAGCAGCAGCAGAATTGTCTGTAGATTGTTTTTAGTGTGGTCTCTATATTTTAATAAATTTCATACTTTGATTACAAGAAAGCCTATCGATATTATTTATAAATTCTGATGAATAACATTAACATTTTTTGATCTTTTCGTGAGGTTCACGAAAGAAGTGAGAACTGGTCTCATCGAAGTGATTTCACCTTCACAATCGTATTATCCGATTGAGGATATCACCGCGACTCTTGGAGATTCGCTTAAGCGGACTTTGTGGAGAGCGAAGCACATCCTTGATTGTGTATACGTCATGGCATATGGTCACACCAGAGGCAGTTTCTATTTGATAATGGAAGATGATGTAGTAGCGAAGAATGGGTACATGACGGTATAAACATTTTATTTTTGTTTTTTCTCAAAATACTGTTCAAACTTCAATTTAAACAAACACTTTGTTACTAGCAATCCACCAGGCTTCGCCAGTCACTCGTGCATTGAACTAATGAGAAATGGAGAAATGTTAAGAATTCATTTCAAAAATACAGTTTCATTTTTAAAATGTTGTAGAGATATCTATTGGAGTCATTTTATTTCTCTAACACAACAAAAACAGTACAGTTTTGGTAGAGTAGTTCTTCAAATTGATTAAACTTGAATCCATTGCAAAACAAGAAGGTTAAACTTGTTATTTACTGAACATGTGACTTATTGTTGACGTTATATTATTTCGAGTTTTGCTTTTTTGATGTACTAAGGATTTCCTTAATAATTTACCAAAGCTTTTCTTATAGCCTGCGCAGACGATGGACTTTTGTCCCTGTATTAAGAAAAAAATGTCATATGGAAGCAATATTTTAAGATAACGTTGTATTGAAATAATCATGATGTTTAAGAAAAAGCGAAGACGTCCTAAAAGAGGACACTGAGTCGATTCTTTTATATCGGATTGATTATTTATTTGTATTGCTGAGATAATTTATAATGCTTTCACTTGAATATTGAATAAAACAATGTCACAATCTTTGAGAAAGAATAATTAAATATACCTAGTTATTTTTTTATGTTTTAACCATGTAACTGCTTGATGTTTCAATCTAAAGAAAATATAATTAGAAAAAAATCCACGCGGGCCAGGCAGCAGACGGGACTCGAACCCGCACCCTTCGCTATCCGGGCGAATGCACTGACCAATTATGCTACCGCGGCCCTGATGGCCGCGTCGAAATTCTTCTCGCCATTCTTAAGCTGCAAGGCAGCGCCATCTCATCGCATTGTAGGTAATCAACAATTACAATTAAATTTAGTTTAAGCGTAAAGCGATGCAAAACATACAAACAATATACTTGAGTTTGAGTTAATCACTGAAATCACTTAAAATATTAGGTTTTGAAGATATTACGCTAAGCCTTGCTCTTGTCACATACTATGTTCTATTTTTTTCGCGGACTATCGCGTATATTTGTTCTGTCCGGTCCCTCGGTGTTCGCGATAGTTCGGGGGACTTCTTGTCCGCGGTATTTTTAATCCGTCGTGTGCGTTACTCGAAGCAGTTGTAAGCAATAAATATATTACAGCGGACAAATATCCTCCACGGACAAAAGTTTTTCGTATGCGCAGGCTATTAATGTCAAGAATTTGAAAGAGCTTCTATTGCCAAGATCTTTCATCCATTTCAATACAATTTAGTTTCCTTGTTATTAGAAGGTCCTCAGTGTAATAACGCATTCTTTAAAGAAGAAAACTTGTATTATTTGACATTTTAGGCGAACTATTGGGCAAATGGGTTGGGGTTCAGTTTTTCCGATAGTACATTTTGTATTCAACAATTTACTGTGTGCAATGTTCAGTTGCTAAGTATATCGCATTAAGTAATAACTTCACGGCCAATTTATTGCGCCCCTTAAATTTTTATCTGAATAAAAGTTGTACGTTAATATATGTTTAATTTACTCATTACACATTTCATTACTGAGTCAGGTTTATTCTTAATTTTTTATTATAAATATTTGCATTAATATTGTTTCAGAAAATGAAGCAAGTCATAGAATACACTTCAAGGTATAAACCGAGATGGTTGATACTAGACTTTTGTCAGAAATTAAATGGCTTTGGAAAACTATTGCGATCTTCGGACGTGGGGCACTTTATGAAATATTTACAACTATTTTATTACAATATGCCGTTGGATTTTCTCATTGAGAGCTATCTTCAAGATAAAGCATGTGGTATAAGCAAAAAATCGGTAACAAAAAAGAAAACCTATCTCATTAAGTAAAATTTAATATAGAAAAAAATAACCTTATTAAATTACTGGATAAAACTATTCTTCATTCGCATTGGAGTTTTTATGACATATATTTTCAATTGTCATCTGATGTGTTTTTTTACAGAAAGGATGCCAGGATGCCGTCAATCAAATAAGAGTAAAGAGTCCGATTTATTTGTTCAGTCATATTGGATTGTTTTCCACGCTTAAAGGGAAAATTCAAAGAGTGGAGGTGAGACCTAATTGCAGACTTACATTACTAAGGTCGTAGCAGATATATGAAGTCAGAAAGGGGTCATTACCAGGGTGATACGGTGACGATCCCTTATCGAGTTGTTGTTGCAGCATTCATTCGTGGTAGGCTATTCCACCTCATAGGGAAGCGTAGTAAAATGTCACTGAGGCATAAGTTGACAATTTACAAAACTTTCATCCGCCCTATCATGACCTACGCGAGTGTTTACTTCGCCCACGTACACCTCCTTCGCGTCTTAAACCATTGCAAATGCTGCAATATCGTGTGTTGCGCGGTGCCACGGGTTGCCCGTGGTACGTGCGGAACATCGATTTGCATCGATCTCAAGTTAGACTCCGTCGCGAAGTATATGAAGGCCGCCTCGAGACGCTACTTCGATAACGCCGCGCTTCATCCGAACCTCTTGGTAGTTAAAGCTTCTAGTTATCACACGTCTGCCCTCTCGTCCTCCAATCGTAGATCCCTCCGATTCCGTCGGCCTAGGCACGTCTTAGAGTACCCCGTAGACAAAATCCCCCCTCCCACACAGACCACAAACACTAACACTACACAGCTAGCATACTTGCAACACTAGCTTAGCATTAGGCAGAAAACACACCCGTAGAATAAGAGTGCTAAGACCCGGTCTACACACGGCACGCTATACCAGGTACAGATACGTATCTGTGCGTTTTTTCCCCGCCCCTCACGACAACGGCTCACTAGAGCCGATGTCTGAGTCACAGAGACGCCCTCTAGTTGAACTGACACCCTCAGGTTCCAGTGGTCTAGAGGCTACAGACGGAGTGGAGAGTCCTCCCGTGGGGAGATGCCATCCGCCTGGAATACCCTTAGAGGCACTCGCTAATTCTCGGCTAGAGATCCCCTTAGGATCTCGCCGCCCCAAACCCGGTGACGCTGTAAAGGTCATCTGCAACCAACAGCATACACACTAAAAAAGGGTTGTTTTTTTATGTTAGAAGGATGGCAAACATACTAATGGCCTGCCTGATGGTAATTGACCACCCCCATTCCCCGTTTGTTCGCACTTGGTCGGATTCGCAAAAGGATGGATTCTCATTACGCCGGAATACAGTTAACAAGAAAAATGTTAACGAAAAAACCACAATCGTTTTTCTGCTGTAATTTTATTTTAAAATGGTGAAAAAAACGAATCATTTTAACATTGGAGATAACCATGGAAAATACTAATTAATATATAACATACACAATCTAGTTCTAAGATCACATAAATTTTATTGCATATTGCAAATTAGATACAATTGGCCAATTTGTTGCGGTAAGTTTTTTTATTGCAGAATGTAATAATATTACTAATATGTATTTCTCCATATTACTGTACTCGAACCGGCGAAATGAGAATCCGTCCTTTTGCGAATCCGACCAAATGCGAACAAATCCCATTCCCTACTCCGAGGAGCCCTAAAACCTGACTGACCGACAGAATCATAACTCTACCAAAACATATCTTCTGTAAGGTATAGGTTACTTCGCCAGACGGTCACTCCAATTCGAGCGGAAAATCTGCTAAGCCCTCTCTTATGTCTCTCTCTGATATGTTAGCTACGACCTTTAATATACATCATCCTTTAATTTATCTGTTAATCTTAGCTTATTAATTTGGCAGTTTGTTTGTTAGGAGTGATCATGATAATATAGTGTATTTTAAATGTCATTGAATTTGTTCTAGGAATCTCGTTTTATAACTGGTCCCACTTATTACGCTTATGCCAATCCTCCACTGAAGCGTATAATTTGTAATATTGAATCTATGCCTGGACACACGATACAGATGGCTTACTATGGAAAGTCATATTTCTTGGGGGTGCGACCAGATTACGGGAGTGTCATAGAGTTTTGGTTCGAGAAACCTACTATTATTAAGAGGTCAGTAATGCGATTTTCTATACGCCAACGTTGTAAGGCTAAGGACTCAGGCGCCCCGGCTGCGGGACCCCAACTCGCGTTTGTGAAATTGTAGGTAAAAAGATTTACGCCCGCAGAGCGCGCTGGTGTTTGCGCCACCTGCTGTTGACGCATGCTGGACGCGATTTCTCTACTCCCTCAGGTTCGATTGGTCTAGAGACTCCAGACGGAGAGGAGACTCCCCCCGTGGGGAGATGCTTTCCGTCTGGAATACCTCTACTACTCGCCAATTCTCGGCTTGAGATCCCCTTAGGATCTCGCCGTCCCCAAACCCGGTGACGCTGCAAAGGTCATCTGCGACCAACAGCATACACACTAAAAAAAAAACGATTCTCGCAGACCCGGCAGATTTCGCCCGATGTCGCAGCCGCAGCAAATGCGAAGCTGCTGAAAACTGCGGTCTCGTGAGTATTGAAATCACATCATGAAAGCTCTACGGCCGCCCTGAATTCTTAGCCTGACAATCTTGGACCTCATGAGTATAGAAGACATAGAGGCAATACTTAATCAAGTGCGCGTGTGCGAGTGAGCAATGACGCAATAAAAGGCGACCTGTAGCCGACAATAGAAAGATTTCTCAGCTTACGGTACGCGAAAGGCGCCAGTGCTCAACACAATGGCAGGTTGCATGAAGCTTTGTCACATTTGCTTGGACACACTTGCTTGGACTCAGCCAGCGCCTATAGCAGCGGCTAGAGTTTTATTGATGTTCTACAGCATTTTTTTCTTTTATTATATGTGTGTATTTGTGTGGATATTTAAGTTCTCATCTCATCTCTCTCTCATCTCGTATGAGAAAAATGTAAATTTAAATTGCAATATGCAATTAGCTAAACCAGACGTCGGCAACCGGCGACCCGTGGATTATCTCGGCGCGGCCCGCAAGCCTCTGGAAAAAAAAGTAGCGAAGCAAAAGTGCGTGCTGCTGGGGGTAGGGTTACCAACTTAAATATAGTGTCTATTAAATATAGTATCTTTATTACTGTTATAGAATAATTAACTAAACATGGCTTCAAGAAAAAGGGAGATAGAAGAAGAAAAAAGAGATTTTAACGCATTATGGACAGAATTATACTCTTTTATCGACTTTAATGTAAAACCGTTATTCTTGATATATCAAAAGAGTATTTCTGTAGTAAAGGAATATAACCTGAAGAGACATTACGACGCTGAGCACAAAGCTAAATTTTAAGGAGAAATACGAAAAAGGAAAATTTCTATTTTTAAATTGTTGTTAAAAAACACCGGCTAAGTGCGAGTCTGACTCGCGCACCGAGGGTTCCGTACAAACTCAATTTAATACCTCTACGCGTTCATGAGAAAAGAGGAAGTCACTTTAAAATTTCAATAATATTTTTTATTATAAGATGTAACTAAAAATTTAAGGTTTTCGCAATTTTTCCCTTATCTGTACTATAAGACGTTACTTCGTGCCAAATTTAAAGATTGTAAGTTCACAGGTTTTTTAGTACCTTGTAGGTTTTGATTCCCGTGCGAGTTTGCGATAATTTGCGGAAATTTGCGGCATAAACGGCTGTATCTTTTGATTGCTTTGGCTTAGAAGTTTGATTTTTTACAGCTCCAAGGGACAGTAGACATGAGTATTAGATATGAATTTCAGTTTGATACCTACACACGTTCCTGAGAAAAACGGTCTTGACAGAAGGACGGACGGACAACAAAGTGATCCTATAAGTGTTCCGTTTTTTCCTTTTGAGGTACAGAACCCTAAGCAAACAACGGCGAACTGAATGTTTGTGCTAGCTTCAGGGTAGGCAGAGATTATAGCAAAAAGTGGACGTCCGCTTACCGATAGTGAATTAGTAAAAAAGTGTGTCTTAGCTATCGCAGAAGAAATATGCCCAGAGCAGAAAAAAGTTATACCTGCAATCATTATCACTATATTCCAAATTTAACTTTTAAGGTATAAATTTCAAAGCGGCAATTATCAGCATAGAGAATCAATTTTCTTTAACACTCTCGTGGAAGTGCAATCCGTCTCCAAGAACTTCTCCGTGGTTGGTGTTTTCGACGAATTCGGATTCACGGAAGCTAATCTCCATCACTTTGGTCCTCTTACTGCAATAAGACTACGACTTCTCAATCCGTTTAGGAGAAATATAATTTTAAGCGAGGTAAGCGTAGAATCAACTTTGCTTTATACAAGACTCGACGATTTTCTAAGGAAAAAAGTAACATCCTGCTTTCAATACATCATATTAAATTGCAAGGTAGTTTTTAATGGCGCCATTTATGTTAGCAAGTTTGATTGCATGTTTCATAAATTGTTCATAACAGATATTTTTTTCAATTCTTAAAATAAAAAACGTCGACTGAACTTAATACGAAATAACTGACAGATTTGTATGACAGGGCAAGAAATGACCATTTAGATGAAACGCCTTTTTTGTTAATGAAGATATATATAAGAAGATTTCGTATATAAAACATGTTTTAGATGTTTCATGCAATTAATTTTGGATCCCCACAGCCCCACATGGAAGGGCATTCGGTTCAGGCATCGTAGCGATGGCTACATCAATACATTGTATGTGGTGTCCAACAGTCTTAACAACTTTAACTCTAGTTACACTTAGCATCAGATGAGTTGTGGTAATTGGCTGTACTGTAGAAAAGTGGAGGAGGAGAAAATGGCGTAAGTGGTTAGCGCGTTCGGCTGCCACCGTTGAAGTTAAGCAACTTTTGCATTGGATGGGTGACCAAAAATTTACCTAGAGCTCCTCCGTGCTTTAAAAGGAACGTTAACCATGTAGGTCAATTGGTCATGGCTGCATCTGCGGTCGTTAGGAGCCTCCAATCCGCACTGGGCCCGCGAGTCGTATCCCAATCTCCTTATTCCAGCCATGGGGAAGGCCCGTGCCCCAGCGGTGGGGACATAATTAGGCTGATAATGATTTTTGAAAAAACATTGGACAGAAGTCAATTGAATTGAATGATTGTCAAATTGACGTGTTGTTACTACTTGTTGCAATTTCATAAAAGGTTCTTTGAGATATCAGAGGTTTTGTACATGCACCAATTTTTATTAAATTCTATAACTAATTGACGTCTGAGTGTGCAGCCAATAGTGATTGTTCATTCGTGTTCCACATCGTACGTCCGTTTGTATATTAAAAATTATTTTTTACTGTAAAAAAAAAATCATAAAATTAAATTGATTATATTTTTTGGAGTATTAATAAAAGACTTTATATATATCACATTTCTGTTATACTATAAGGTATATATATACAGGGTGGTCCAACTAGTGACGTCAACAAATTTTTTTTAGATTCCTCGCACTACTACTGGAAACCTACTCTATTTCAACGAAAAATAATTCACAAAACTTTCGAACTAAAAGTTGAATTTGACAGATAATTATTGTTCAAAATTTTAACCTCAAATTGACGAAATGAAAAGTGTTATCTTTTCATTTTTGTTATGGGATTTTTGTTTAAATTAATCATAAAATTACAACTACCGTGCTGCCTTAATTTTTAATTAAGGCTACTTAGCGTGAGGAATTTTTTAGTACTTATGCAAAATTTACAAATAAATCAAATTTTTGTTTATTATTGTATTACCAATATTTCAAAGTGTTATACGACAAATTTAGGTTGACATACATTCGATTGCATAAACTCTACGAATTAGTCGGCTAACATTGTCAAAAGAGGTTGTTTTAATGTAATCAAAAATATTGTCATAAAGTAATATATTGTTTTGAAGTAAAAAAAGTTATCTAAAAAGTGTAGACAAAAAGAACTCACAAACATAACTCATTTTATTCGTTCACGATAATTGTCTGTGATTCCGAACTTTATGTGCGTGTTTGAAGATGAAATCGAGTAGATTCACTGGCGAAATTTCGTTTAAAATTCGTTCGTTGCCGAAATTACGTTTCGGAGAAAGAGAGTAGAGCTCCTGGGGGTAATCGAAAATACCCCATGTATATTTTTTTTGTGTATTTTTAATGATTTCTGCCAGCGAGGTTTCAAAAATTCATATCTTGTTTCGTTGTAGGTATTTTGCAGTCATTTGTAACATAATAGGGAACATGCATATATAATATTTATGAAAATTTTATGATTAAAATGTTAAAAAAATATAAAAGAAATGCCACTGCAACTTTTTATTTTACATACTGTTGTTTTTTAACAATTATTACGAATTAAAAATACTTGAAACAGAACGTATTTTAAAACACCAATCAGCGTTTAGTGACGTCACTCCTGTTATGACAACTTCTTTGAGGGTATGGTTGTTAAAGTAAATATTATTTTATGGGAATATTAATTGCGTTTTTTTACATTTAATAAAAATGGAAGTTGCGTTTATCAAAGCAGACTCCAGGAATTTACCAAGAGTTAGTGTTGACATGGTTATAACTTTAAGTACAGAGTTTTTAAGCGTAGAAATGAAAGGGACTAAATTACTACGGTATGTAAAAATCGTAGTTGTTAAACTTCGTATTTTATTCAGCGGCTTCTACAAATCTTACGGCGATAATGCAATCGGCAATATCCAAATTAAAAGAGATGGAGAATTATGTACAGTAAAAGGTCGAGCATAAAGTACGTAAAGAGGGTTATCGTGTTACAGTTATTTTAAATGAAACGCAAAGCTTGGTTCCGTTCTGCCAATGTGAAGATTGTGCCACACATATTAAAGTTTATCTAATTATCGACGTCATTCTCCAACTGTAAAATTAAAAATATGTTATAGACAGGTTTTGTAAGTATTAGGTAGGTTACTAATGCGTTTTTACGTACAAGCAGATTAATTAAGCATATAACAAGTATATTCTTCGTGATATAGTGATCTTCACAGCATCCAATAATGGTCTTTGGAGAATAATTGTCATTTCTCTTTGCAGTTTGAAACCACTTTTTTCCGTTTTGGGTCAGAAGTTCCTGGCAAAAACAATTTATTTGGAAACTTTGTTGAAGTAGATTGGTACACAACATGAGTCAACACGCCTTTTTTCCGGAATATTAGTGGTATTGCTATGATCACATGATGTTGATGGATAGTCGATTTTAAATTTTTCAAAAAAATATTTCGGAAATCTAAAAAATATGCAAAAGTATGAAAATTTAAAGCCAGCGACGAACAAGTACGACCAGTGATAGACAGGAGTGACGTCATCGCAACCATAGGTTCGTTTTCGCGCGAAAATTTAAATTGTCAATTTAAAACCGCATTTTTTCCGATAAATCACAATGTTTTAATTTTTAATATATCTGTGGTTTATTCTACATGGAATTCTTTAAAATGAAAACAAAAATAAAAATATTGCATCTTCCCTATTGTCTTGAATGTTGTTTTAAAAAAAAAACTCAGCTTCCTGAAATTACTTAAAGTTACTCAAAAAAGGCTTGAGAGTTGGAACTTTAGTTTTAAGTAGTTGGACCACTCTGTATATGGGCCTACGTTGCCTGAATGCAAATAAACAAACAATAAATATCCTTATTCAACACTGGCATAATTAAAACAATAAAATGAAGTGGTATCCGTGAGGAGGCTAATATTCAAAAGTTTTGATGAAACTTGAATATTAGCCACCTCGATTCGATTCGAAAAGATTTCTTAAAGTTTTCAATGGTATGTATATTGATCTGGAATTTTCAACTGTACCTAGCCTTGTTTCAGATTGAGTTGGTGGCAGAAGAAATATGATTTGAGAAAACATAATAAAACGATATATTTTTAACTTTGTAACGTTTTTCTTAATTATGATATATCTCCTTTTATGTGTTCTCGATTAAATTATGATTATTATTGATTATTATTTAGACATGATTATTATTGATCCATTTCACTGTCGTTAATTTTGAATTAAAATTGAATATGTCAAACGCATTGTAGTCTTTTGTGCCCACTAGTAAAGTAATAAATATAAATAGAATGAAGACATACTTACGTTTACATGCACTTGGATGCTGATCCAAGTTTAGGTGCAGATAATGGTAAATAAAAGTCAAGAAACTTAAATAAAAGACATGTGAAATTAAAGCTTTAAACCAATGTATTAGGTAAGTACGTCTAAAATCTTACACTCTTTACATATAATTAAGTAATATACAACATGAAACAGTCGCATGTCATAATTTATAAATGAATCAGTCTAAATACTAAAACTAAAGGCAATATTTAGTTCAATATCTTGGTACTACCAAAGCCTTGAAGGGCGCCGCGGCTGGCGTGGCTCCATCAACATGGTCCAATGATGGTAAGGGTTCTCCAGGCGCTGGTAAGAAGGAGAACTTCTGCAGCATTGTCGTGGTGAAAATAAAGATGTTGCATTTAGCCAGTACGTCGCCCATACATCGGTGCTTACACATTCCGAATGGGAAGTAGTAGTCGGGCAACTTGACTTGCCCGTCACACAGGAACCTTTCGGGTTTGAACGCGTAAGGATCAGGAAAGAGGTCGTCGTTCAACAATATGTTTGTGAAGTTCGACACTATCATCGTGTCCTGTAAAAGAAAATGTTTACTTTAATAGAACTACTCGATATGCATTGAGATAACTAGAGGGGCTTGATGACGCTAGTACTACGTGCGTGGCAAGGATCGGTATTTGGACCGAATTTTTTTTTCACACTTTTCTCCGTACTTTGGAAGGCATGTTAAGCCATTGGTCCCGGTTGCATCTGCAGTCGGTAGCACTCACCAATCCGTACTGGGCGGCATGGTGTGTCGGGGGAAAATCTTCATATTCCATCCTTAGGAAAAACTGTGCTTCAGCACTAGGGACCTTAATACGCTGATGATGATGAAATAAATTAAAAATTTACCCAACCAACTAAAATTGTGAATCGGAAAATTTACCAAATATAAACCGGCGTAAACGTCGAACCTTGACTTATCGGTATATACGTGAGCTTAATGTTTACCAAAGTAGAGCGCCGTGGTTATGAAATATCAAAGCGGTGTTAGTCTAGAACCCGAGTATACAAAACGCAGGTGTGACAAAACACCGGTCGATTAATCGTGTGCTGACTTTCATGTTTTGCGACACAGTTACCAACGTAAGTACCTATAATGTTTTTAAACACACTATGAGCTGTGTATTTATTGAACTTGACCAATTACCTAACACTTTTTGGACGAGTATAAAGGTTTCTTAACTTTTTCATCATTCCCTACATTTTGGGTTTGTGGTCGCAAGTCTGAATTTTCATAAAAAAACCGGACAAATGCGAGTCTTACTCGCCCACCGAAGGTGTTGTACAACTTTGTGGGAACATCTTAATATATATAAATCTCGTGTCACAATGTTTGTCCTCAATGGACTCCTAAACCACTGAACCGATTATAATAAAATTCGCACACCATGTGCAGTTCGATCCAACTTGAGAGATAGGATAGTTTAAATCTCAAATTATAGTCGCAATTTTAATTTATTGCAAATTATTACTTTTGGGCGGTACGAAGTTCGCCGAGTCAGCTAGTATTATTATAAATTATAAAAATAGTTCAAAATGTGTCTATTTTATTTGATTTTATTTTATTTTATTTGTAAAGGTACATTAAACAGCCAAAAGCCAGCAAAAATGTACACAGCTGAATAACATAAGTAAACCTTATTTACCAAAAAGAAAACATATAAAGAAAAAAAACATTGATGAAATAGTCTTCAATCTTAGGTAATGAAACAAAGCGGGCGAAAGGAATGAAAACTTGATATTACCCGAGAAAAATCATTAATTGGGTACGAGTCTAAAAAACATTCATGTATCTGCAATCAACCAAATAAATAAAAACATGCATAAAATAAACAATAAATATGTATATGTGTATATATTTAAAAATAACAAGGGTATTTGTTATATATTTATTTGGGGACGGGGGGGGGGGGGGGGGGGGGGGGGGGGGTAAAGTGTCAACCTCAAATCATTTTTAAATTTCTGTTTTGATCCAAAAAATATATCTATGTCTTTAAATTTTGAATTGTATAAGTGTGACACGCGCGTTAGGATAGAATGGTTCCCATATTTTGTACGGTGCAATGGTACATGAAAAAGTGAAGTGTGACGAGTACGATAATTAGGCACAGATAGCGAGAGGCCCGCAAGCAGCTCAGGGCAATCAAGGTGGCCACGTATCAGATCCCACAGCAACCCCATATCCAAAATCAGGCGTCGATCCTCAAGAGTCAAGAGCAAAAAGTTGCGACAACTGTCAACATAGGTAGTATCAGGAATTTTGAATTTATAATTAAGATGTCGTATAAATCTCTTTTGGACACGTTCTATTTGATTTATATAGGTCTCATATTGTGGACACCAGATAGGACTAGCATATTCCAATATGCTCCGTACATAAGCGTAGTACACGACCTTAATGGTGGTCAACGAGCTGAAAGGACGACAAGTGCGCAAAACAAATCCCAAATTCCGATAAGCCTTATTAGTGATCATGTCAATGTGGTGAGACATTAACAATTTGGAGTCCAGAAGCACTCCCAAATCCCTTACTACCTCGACCCTCTCGATAGTAACTCCTTCGATATTATATTGGAACAGGATGGGTTCCTTTTTCCGACTGAAAGTGATGGTATTGCATTTATTTATACTAATCTTATTTTATATTATTTAGTCTAATTTTATATTATTGGAAAGCGAAAAAAAATAGAAACAAATATTTAAGAAATTTAGGGTATTTATGATTTTTTTTCATTTGCAATAAGGTTATAAACATTGCTGTATAATTTCATTGGTAAAAAGTATTAAAATAAAATAGTGGGTACCTATTTCAAACTTACCTCGGGAATGTTGTAGCCAGCTAGTTTGGTGTTCCTCAAGGCGCGATGTGGAACCCCAAAAGTGCGCCCCATGAAGTGTCGGACGCACTCGTGCACTATTGCACTGTTGTATGGCATCCTGTGTCATTAGAAGATAAGTGTGATTTTATAGTTGTATGATAGTGTTATCTGTACTGGACTGAATACTGAATAAAAAATTAAAATAAAGAATATGCTAGTAAGTCTATCAATGGACATTTAACATGTTTTAAATATGTTTTACAATAATTTAGTTAACATATGTTAAGTATGTACATAAATAAAATTTATAAATATCTAGCATTATAATTGCTTATATTATAATAGTGACATTTTGTATTTTGCATATTTGTTAAATTTTATCACGTATATACGATTCGTGACGTGCAAAGTAGCACAAGATGTTCACTGTTTCTTTCTATCGATTTTAACTACGAGTAAATGAGTGGAATTTTTATGAATTTCAACCCAATTAAAGGTTTTCTGGATTCACTGAATTCTAAAGTTGACGCGGAAGAAGTCGCAGGCACTCTAGCAAGTTGGTAATAAAATAACACTACTAAAGAAATGACTTCCATCTTACAGTCATCTTGAATAATGAATCCTAAGAAAATATAAAATAGGAAAGACCATGCACTATGAATACAAGAAACTAATTAGCTGGGATACCCGTTGCGCATCGTGACTCAACCGTGCAAAAGATATTTTAGCTCAGTAAGTCTTTTGTAATTTTCTATATATTTAATAGGTTGGAGAAAAAGACTTTCCGCATTATAGTTTTTATGAACTTGTAATGAAATCTCTTTGGCTATACCATTTATATCTGGCTGGTTTTGGTATCATTAAAAAGTTTAAATTTTAAAGAAGATAATTCCATATTCTAATTAGAAAAATATGTGATTTTCATTTGTTTTTCTTATTGTCAAGATGAGTGAATCTAATAAACAAATTCAATAATACATTTTAAAATTTTACTACAAAAAAGTTAAAAATGCAACGTAAGCCACGAAAAGAAGTTTATGGACCTATGAAGTATCTGTGAGAGTAGCACAAACTTGGTTTAACGTTTTCAATCCGGAAATTTTGATGTCAAAGATACACATCGCTCTGGTCATCCTATTACGGATAAAATGGGTGCCATTTTTGAAGAAGTAGAGCAAGATTGGCATATCAATAGTTACGACGTAGCTGAAGAACTGGGAATTGACCACAACACAGTTTTGGCACCTTTGAAAAAAGCTGGGTACACAAAAAAGCTCGATATTTACACTAACATCAATTAATATTAGTTCCCCTATTTAACGTTATAATATTTAAATAGAACTAATGACAACAAAAAATATTATTAGAATGTATCATCATAGTACTAATGAATGATTTATTATGCTAAGTTAAAATGCTGAATGTGAGGAATAAGTCTAAATTAGTAATAGTTATTTCCTCATTCAGATGATTGTAAGATATTATAATTACGAGTACGAATCAACCTTTTGTGCCTTTTATTTTGTGAAGGGGAGATGAAACCGCAACGATGCACCCATGTGACCTAGTTTTACAAAACGGGTTCTTCTTTATATACCTACCATACATATTTTGTAGAATAGCAGAGGTTATTGTTAAGAATACCTTTCGTTTGAAACCAGAGAATATGATATAAATAATACTTAAAATTATTATAAGTGATGTGAATAAATAAATCTTACTGATCACGGTCATCGAGACAAGGCCTGCGATCTCGACCGACGACTCTGTCGATCTCCATTTGAGCTTTTTTCTGCACCTCTTGCTCTCGTACTAAGTAGCTGAAGCCAAAGCTCATGCTCTTGCTTGTAGTCTCAGTACCAGCCATGAACATATCCATACACATTGCAACTAGCTGACCCTTAGAATAGGTATTAACTTCTCCATGCTCTCTCAAAATTCTTATATAAACATCCATGAAATCTCTATCTTCCTTATCCGGATCAAATCGTTCCTCGTGACTGGCGATCTCGTCCCGCAAAAACTTCCAAATCCTCTTATGAGTTTTGACGAAGTCTTTGTATCCAGACGTCGTTGGAGCAATGATACATAGGAGTGGAAAGTGGCTGAAAGCAGTCCCGACCATATCAACAGCGGAAAATAAATCAAAGAGAAGGTTTTGTAGGACTTGCATTTGTGGCTCCTTTGGATTGTATCTTATACCAGCCATCATCGACCATAGTGTATTTAATATGTAAGTATTAAAAAAGTTATGCATCTGCATTACCCCTTCATTGTTATTGCCAAGTGTTTCCGCTAAATCATTAATCATGTATGCAGCTTCAGAACATGCTATATTTCCCATACCTTTTCTACCGAAGCCGAATTCTTTTAGGTGTTTTACTAAGAAACGTCTCTGTTCCTTCCACAATTCTCCATCTGTTAAAAGAACACCTCGCCTCTCACCCCATGTCCGAGTCTGGTAGAATATGCCTTTAGGTCTACCATCTAAATCTTCATTACCGAGCATCTCTCTGTTTGCCTCTAAAGTGTTAACCATGACGATTCTATCTTTTCCGATTTTAAGACCTAGAGCACCTCCATTTGTACAGTAAGTTTTTGAAAGCTCTTTTACAGCCTTATATAAGTATCCCGTTTTCTCGCGAAGCTTCGCCACTTCAGCAGCACATCCTAGGACTGGAACCCACTTGGGGCCTGGAGGGAAATTCTTTGGTTTCAATGTATCCAAGTAGAGTAAAATGCAGACCACTAGCACTATGGCTAGTGCTGCTAACCACATCTGAAACAACAACATAGGATAAATATATTTGTATGCTTATATAAATAAAATATATTTTTATGCCTTTATAAATATATTTTACTATATAAAATATAACAGCTATTTTGTTGAAATTACTGTTGACATGGTTGCATGTTACAACCACGCAGACAGAATAAAAGTATAGCATGATGATACACTGGCGATCGATTATCACGAAATAGATATAGGTACTGCACAACCAAAACATGTCTAAATTTTTCCTTTCCTATTCATCCATAGATGAAATAGGGAAAATAGGCAACTTTCCACCAGACGGCCCCAGTGCGAATTAGTGGGTACTAACAACTTCATATACAGCTTGCTTAATTTCAACGATCGCGACCGTACGTGCTAACCACTGCACCATGGAGCTCCTCACAATAAATTGCAACTGTAAATTGTATCACAGCGGCGCTGCCGTCCTTTGTTTTCAATCGAATTCAAAAAGAAGGAGGTTCTTAATACGACGGTATGTTTTTAAGGTTCCGTACTCAAAGGAAAAGAACGGAACCCTTATAAGATTACTTTGTTGTCCTTATGTCCGTCTGTTTGTCAAGACCCTTTATCTCAGGAACGCGTGGAGGTATTGAGTTGAAATTGAAATCATATACTCGGGTATATAGTCCCTTGAAAATGGGAAAAAATCATACTACCAAGTTAACGTACAAAATATATACGGCCGTTTATTTTGGGTACGGACACCCTCCCAACCCTCAGTGGCTGAACCCGACTTGTCTTGACCGCACTTGTACGGTATTTTTTAACTCTGTGTAAGTTGAGAAAACAAAACAAAATTTGGAGGCGATGGACCAAATACAATCTTAAAATACGAAGCCTGTAAAACTTAGTTTTCAGCTAGTTACTGTTTGCTGCTACACCAAATTTTTGGGGTTTTATATAAAAGATGTCGATTTTCTATTTTAAAAGTTTCGCAACGTCTGACATTTATATGAAACTAGCTGTGCCCCGTGGTCTTACCCGCGGTTTACTAGGGATATTTTCCCGCAGTAAAACGTAGCCTATGTGTTAATCCAGAGTGTCAGCTAACTCCATACCAAATTTTATTTATATCGCTCCAGCCATTTAAACGTGAAGAAGTTTAACGTGAAACTTTTAATATTAGTGTGATATTCATGCATTCCACCTTCACACCAAACATTAACACCAATGTTAAGGTGGAGAAATTTCTTTCCCGGCCTTAATACTAGCATAATACTAGCCCAAGATCGACCTCAGTGGCGTGCAATTGGAGAGGCCTATGTCCAGCAGTGGACTAATGTAGGCTGTTGTTGATTGATGATGATGACTAGTGTTACGGATGGAAACCCTGTCATACCATAGTCACACCAGTGTGACGGTCGGAAAATTGACATTGGCAGGCCACAAGATGAGAGGAGATTAGCAGGATCACTACCTACGAGTAACAAATATTCAACAGATTTTCAAACCATAAATTTAATGACTTACTTTCATCTGAAACTGATGGAAATATTACTACAGTATTTGGCTTAATTGACTAGCCAATTGACGTTGAGTAAATTTTACTAATTTGCAATTACTTATGGCAACCAAAGCATTTGGCAAAATTCATCTAAAATAAAATTAATAGCAGTAACACCCAAATAATATAAGTCCGCTTATTATTACACGTAATCCGTTCTGCAATTGTCGTTTCAATTAATTAACGAACAGAAATTTTTGATTTTTACTACATATTTAGAACATTATTTGTATCTAGTTAAGAAATGATCTTGTGATAATCATTAGTAGGTACTATTAAGTCGTATCATTGTAAACAGCGTAGTGTCAGTGCCTACTTAAATATTACAGTATTTCCCATCGCACTATTTTAAAAATTTACTTTGTTACTTCTCTAATAATTTCTTATGTTTTCACGTACACTACTCATTAAATATGACACTGCATCAATGGATTTAAGATGCGTTTTTTAATACTTTTATGCATTCCTATCTCTACGTTTCGGATCCTTTACAGGGTCCGTTCCCAAGACTACGTATATAAATACGTACGTATTTTAATCATAATCGCCATATGATATGTATAAATCTATATATATATAGAACTCAAAGGTGACTGACTGACTGACATAGTGATCTATCAACGCACAGCCCAAACTACTGGACGGATCGGGCTGAAATTTGGCATGCAGGTAGATGTTATGACGTAGGCATCCGCTAAGAAAGGATTTTGATCAATTCTACCCCCAAGGGGATAAAATAGGGAATGAAACTTTGTATGAAACCTTGTCAATTTTAAACTGATTGGGCTGAGAGTTTGCATGCAGGTATAAGAAGAATCATAGATGAATGTCATCTATAATACAAGCCTGAGAACAAAAACTGACTCTACTAGAGGGCGGGCCGCTAGTTTATTATAAAACGCATCTTAAACCCGTCAAACCCAGGTTTTATAATTACCTAATAATTGCTGAAACTTGGGGTGTTCTTAAGTTGAAAATTTTAGTTTAAATTTGTGACTATTATAAATTACTAGCGGCCGCCCGCGACTTCGTCCGCGTGAACTTAAGTTTTTGCAAATCCCTCAGGAACCTAAGATTATTCCGGGATAAAAAGTATTCTATGTCTTAATCCAGGTAATAAACTATATGTGTGCCAAATTTCATACAAATCCATCAAGCCTTTTAGATGTGAAGAAGTAACAAACATACACACACACACATACAAACTGTCTGTCGCCTTTATAATTTTAGTGTGATGATTTCCCTTAATTATTATTTGTTTTACAGAAAAAAATATATTATCATTAAATTAATAGTTACTTAGTCCCAATTTTATTGCCTACATACCTGTATTTGCATTATCTTGAAAGCACACTTTCAAAATCAACATTGTATTTGTCGTGAACTTAGTCTTGTATTGTCCTACGGCATTAAAAAATATATGAGTTCTTACCTACAATGGATCTTATACTCACACCTATTCGACTAGCCAAGCAAAGCAATATACGGCAAAAAATGTTAAACTACATGAGTTGTGGTAGGAAGGATGACGATAACGATTTATAGAAAGTCCACTTTAAGAGTATACACGCTAATCTATCAAGTATAGAGAGGTAGGTAGTACACGGCGGGTAAAACCTCGGGATAAATCTTCAAATTTGAAGGATCATATGGGAACGGTTTACAAAAGACTATATACAGTACAATATAGTATACATATAATATACAGTTCTATATAACTTGATTTTATAGAATTGTTCCTTTAAAGAGAGATAATAAGATTTTCGCCATTTTACAGAAGTGAGGGTTAAGGTTATGGTAGGCATCGATTAAAGATCTCTCTCACAAATCAAAATACACTAATAAGAGTATCTAAATACCTGTTCTACTTAGTTAGCACAAAGTGGATTTATGCAATCAAAACTTATATTCATACATACTATCAACTGAATTAATAGCTAAGAAGAAATTGGTCACTATTTCGATTGGTATTACTACAGATCATGAGTCAGCAATTACTATGGTATTGAGTTCACGCCACTACCGCCCGCCGCCGTGTAAGCGCCGTGTAAGCCACGGCCACTTCACCCAAAAAGTTTTCGTTCACGTAGAACCTTAAAGAACTTTAAGTACCGTGATGCTAACAATCAAGTTTCTCTGCGTTTTGTCAGTAAATATAATAACACCCGTGACCTCCGCATAAGACAGTTTTAGGTGTACCTTACAGATTCCGTGTCACGATTACGTTTCGCGAATACCGACCATGTAGAACCTGCCGAGTCGGTTAGGTAATATGGTTGCACAATGGTTGGATAACTGTTCGGATGACTGCTTGCTTTAGGCGTTACAAAATATTTACTAGGGCATTGTATATTTAGCGTATTTATAACTTTGAACTGGATAAAACGTCACGATTTGTAACCCTCAATTGTATTATGGTATCGGATTCCATTAGCAACAAGTAAGTGTGATTTTTGAATTGTGTTTGATGCGTTGTGTGTGATTGCCAGGCATAGAATCATATTAATCGATAAAGTGTTTAACTGTAGTAGACACATTTCTTCACTTATTAAAAAAACTGATAACCTAGATTTCACAGTCTTGTAAAAATGTTGGAAAAGAAAGTATAAGCCTTTAAAGTGGGAACTGTGATAGAAGCATTAAAAGGGATTTTGTAACCTTGCAGAAGAGAAAGGCGGATTTGAAGATGGAATAGGAGCTTTGTATCAGGTAGGATTACTTATACCTGATATTTTATTCATAAAGGTGTAAGAGCTGGTAAAATTATTAAATGGGAAAAATAAAGCTATATTCCTACAACGTAATTCGAAACTGGGGAATTATATTTTTACTGATCATTTCAACTGGAATGGTATGGTTAATAATAAGAAATATGTAACAATCTTAGCAGTTAAGAATGCTAAAAATTATGAAGATTAAGAGTCCGTAAAAAGTAGTTGCACTCGTTCCCTGATTCTTATTTTTCTTCAGCTTACAAAGCCAAGGCTAGAACTACAAAAGAGCTTTGCTTAGTGCCATAATATTGGATAAGCTAAAAACCAGGCAAGAGACCGAACTAGATGCCTCTTGTGTCATGTGGCCTATTCACTACTTGTGACAAGTCACTTGAGTAGCTACGCAATCATGTATCCAAGTTACCAAGTACACCAACATATCCATATTGGTATGGAACAAAAAACTGTACTGACCAGCATTTTTTTATGTAAGAAGCCCGCTTGATGGTAAGCGACTGCCATAGCCTACAGTGGATCTACAGACGCTTGCAAAACCAATCTCAACTTAATAATTGAAAAATGGGAATAAAAATGGAAAATCATTAGTAGACAAGATATCCAAATTTAAAGACTTCTGACGTCGGCATAGTTATTGATTGTAATTGATACGAATAACTTTTCTATGTGGAAATATGAGGCGTTCTGTTTAGCAATAGGCAATGTAGTATACAAGAGTTTGAGCACCATCGTGACGACTAATTATGAATTCTTATGTTTTACTGATAAGGTTTTAATATATTTAAAAAAGATACCTAAGCATAGTTATTTTAAGATGTTTAAAAGAGATGATTCAGGTACTTCTACTTAGCTGATATTACTCTGGCTTATAAAAAGTGGAAAATAAAAAGAGTTATTCCTCAGCTGGGAATTGATATTAATATCTTGTTGCCAAAATATTATTATAGTGAGCAGCTACTTAAAATAAAATCACAGCTAAGATTTTTAGACAACAATAGTGGGGCCCCAGTATATAAATGTCTGGCGATGTATGTACATTCATTTGATTATTAAGCATCCTTGCAATAAATATTCTAATTGATAAGATTATAAGTTAGGATTATATACTAATTTTTATATTTAAGACAATAATGTCATTATTTTATTATATATTTTTATTATTATTATACATATGTATCACAATGTAAAATTTCCTCACTCCACAGTTGTACTAACAACAGTATAACTGTTCAAATAAATTAAAAAAAAACAGAAAAACAAAGCTATTTTCTTAAAATCTCGATGGGTATTAGAAGCTGTGTTATATTTACATTTCATTTGAAGTACGATTCAATTTGTTGTGAACAATAAAAATAACAATAGGTACAAATCCACGGACGGAGAAATCAGACCTTTTATCATCAATCATTTTGTTGTTTACTTCGGGCACGATAGCTTACTTATTATGTCTTTGCTAAATTGATAGTATCCTTGACCTTACAGTTATTTAAGCGATTACTAAAACAAATACACTTAACTACTAATTGATAGACGTAATTGATCACAATAAATCAAACAACTACTGTGCAATGATGGGATCGGTGACCCATTTTGAAACTTTTATCCTACTTCCCACTAATAAGATAAATGTGAAAGTTTGTACGTTTGTTACTCAAGCACAAAAAAACTTCTGAACATGTACCCTTAGCACGAAATAATATCGAAATCGTAACCTTTGCGAGTCCGAAATGTCATCGTCAAATGTGTACTGATTTTTAGTTCTCGTTACGTACTTTGTGGCGCTGCTGTTCAAGTTTTCATACAAAATTTGACATTGACATTTCGCACTCGCAAACTATTTGAATTCGATAATAGTTCGTGCTAGGGGTACAGATTTGTTTGAAATTTGGTACGAATATACTTTTTGACCTGGATTGAGTAATCGGGTACTTTTTCTCCCGAAAAAGTGTAAGGTTTCTGGGGGTTTATAAAAAAACTAAAGTCGCGGGCGGCCGCTAGTTTACTATATTTATTAAACTGTTATTATTAGTGGCCCCGTTTTCATTGACGTAAAACACTCCAAGAAATTTAAGCAGCCAATTAATATCTGCAGCGAATGTCGAGATTTTAGTCTTAAGCGGACTGTACTAAAATTGATAATGGAAAGGACTTATCATATTTTCTGTATTTTTTTAATGAAGTAGTTTTGTTTTATCGTAAAATGTCAACGACTGTATTGTATTGATACTTACATTTCACTGCTAATATGTTTTACAATAATAATAAAAAATATTTTCAAAATATTTCAATCTGATTCAGAACGTTAGACTGTATCTAGGTACTTAAAACAAATTAAGATCTTTAATGTTAAATGTCTTATAACTAGGTGAGTTAATTTAAATTTTGATCTATAAAAATATCTAAAAACCTGAAATAAAATAAATTATTCGAGTAAACAAACAATTCGCACAGCACTTTATGATATTGAAGACCAGACAATTATTTATTCAACAAGAGTTGGTTTTTACCTCTGCTAACCCGCAGAGTTAAACTTATTTTACAATTTACAGTCTAATACTGATTTCATATATGAAGAGCTGGCGAACAAAACGGTATATTTACATAAAATTTAATTTTACAAGAGCTGTATAAAACTGAATGAACTCTGAGCTGAATGATACCTGTCGTGAGCTTTTGGCATGGTTATTAAATTATAGATGTAGTAATTTTAACACTGTTTTAGGGGGTTTTAATTGAAAATTATTTGTGATTCAAATTCAGCGGGCCCGAAACCTCCGGACTGTTAAAAAAAAGTAGTTTGATGAGATGCGTAATTATACTGTTTTGTTCGCCGGCTCCTCATATTATGCCGCTAATAAATTGAAAAAAGTATTAAACTGAAAATGTAATCGTACCACATTGCCATAATCGTAGAACGCAACAGCTTAACTATTCAGCACACAACGAAATCCATTCATGCGTTCAGATCCACTCTGTTATATAACACAAACAAATAACTGGCAAAAAATTAAATTAAATTTAACTACGTATGCTTGAAAAATCGCACTTTATTGTTCTAAATAAGGAACATCTAGTTTTTAGGTTCATAATCGCGCTCGTATTTAAAAAAAAAACTATTTTTTTTTTATAAAATGTAAAGTGAATTCATACCTTTGATCAGCGTCACGATGACGGTTGCAACTCTCACTGGCCGTGGTCCGGAAGTCGCCGCTATAATATGGCAGCCCCGCCAACTTGAAACTGCGTATAGTTGGTGCGGCTACGTTTACACTGTTGTGTAATAAACTTTGCGGATGCAACGTGCTCGCCAGAAAAAGGGCTATGTCATTTCATATATGTTTGGTGATTAAAGAAGTATTCAATTATTCCTGGTTATGAGAGTTTAATTAATATTTAAATGTTATGTATTAACCTTTTCCGAGTCTGAAGTATTCCGGGTTCTGCAATTCAGCATCGAATTAAATGAAAAATTAGAGACAAATTCAAGATAAAAGCTATAAACATAATCTTGAAAAAAAATATTAAATGTCAGTAAAATATGGCAATTTCAGTCCTACAATAGCTGGGTTTGTTATCTTTACATATAATAAAATGGTAGGGAAGTCAAAACTGTACATCGAATATTTTTTTAAAAGGATACTTGGGGTGTGATCTACAATCTATACCAAAACCAAAAATATAGTTTTCAGAATTTTTGTCTGTTTGTATGTATGTCCGGGATAAACTCAAAAAGGACTGTTTGGGTTTACTTCAAATTTGGCACGAATATTATTAAGCAGTCGGGTCAACATATAGGCTACATATTATCACGCTATCACCTACGGGGATCGAGTAGGGAACCTTTATTACCAACTAACTCCTCGCGTACGAAGTCACGGGCGGCCGCTAGTTGTTATTAAAATAATATGGACAGTATTTCTGATCTGAAAATAATAATAAATATGTTGTAATAATTTTTAACAGAACAATAACGGTCTTATTACAAAAAAGTTAGACACGGTAAAACACCTTGTTTAGACATATATGTATTTTTTTATAAACTCGTTGAACGTATGTGATCAACTTTTTTGTGCAAATAAGATTATAATTCAAAAAGGTTGTAGTTTGTTAAATTAAGTGTAATAAGATTATCACCGCAATAATAATTATGGAGATCAATTCAGGTAAAAAAAAAAATCAGATGCATTTGTTTAAAAACTTTTTTTTGTCTATTTTTACAGTTCAATTGATTTTTTTTTATATTCATGTGGTGGTTTCAAAAACGGTGTGATAGGTGTCCCAGCGAAATTTATAATAAACTTATAGTATAAGAGCAATATTGGTCAATTCATATTAGTGCTAGCGATACACCAAACATACTGCACTTGATGTTAAAAGCATGAAAATCGAAACGATTGATGTTTAGACCATATGAACGAATTTGACCCGTACCACTAAAACATAGGACAAAGAGCAAAACACACCCAGCTCCGCCAACAATGTGATTAGTATGAATCGATAAATCTATGAAAAACTAGCCTTTTTTATTATGGCACCGTTTAAAAATATCGTGGTAGTCAAAAGATGTGACACCGTAAAAAAATATCCTGGTAGTCAAAAGATATAACACATGGGCATATTTAAGTAGCTAAATAAATTCATATTATAGTACCTACCTTCATTTTATATTATTAGTAACCATAATAACGTGCCATATCGTACTAATCAACCAGATATACGACAAATCCTGCCGACCATCCTGCGCTTGCATATACTGAGACACATCAAACCCCCGTAGGATTGAAGGACTTTTGTTGTTGCAAATAGTCGACTCGTCTTACTTCGTTGTGATTGTGCGCTCCCTGTCACTTGATTGATTTTTATCTAATACGCTTTGGAGATTGGAACACGATTATCAGTTTTGTCAATTAGTATGGATGAACTGGAATTATGTTTTCTCCAAAGCGTGGGCAAGTTTGTGTGATTTGTGGTCCCTCCTTTTTACATAGGAGACAATTAACTATAACGAACAGAATGTTTGAAAAAACACCAACTCATGCGGGATTTTTGGATTTACTCTAGCACGCCAGAATAACATAAGGGTGCCCCCTTGCACCTTGTGCAGTTCTCCCATAATATCTGAGCCCCGTATGTATGGTCGAACTAACTAACTAAATTAATTCCCTTTTTACATTAATGTTCGTTCGTTATAGTACTTGCACCTATTTAACTTAAAATAACTAAAGACCCCCGGGATGGAATTTGATGCGCTTTGGCAAAGATGATTATGACTATAATACCTTTCAAACAAAATGTAGTAAGCCGTGGCAGACGTGGGTGCAGCGTCCATACATTTTTGCTCAATATCCAGAAGGCAAGGAGCTATGACGTCACCTTTATATTTGTATGGTTTTTTTTTTGTTCTGAAACCTATCGTGTGTGTTATTTTATGAAAGGGCTTCATGAGCCGGTTCTAAAAATATACTATACCCAGGTAACACTGAAAATGATTAGAAAATGAAAAACGGCTTGATATAGAAAGTTGCCAATACTTTTATTGTTTTTCATATTACGTCTCCTTTCATCTCTACAAATCGTCGCATTCGATGGAACCACTGAGAAAAGCAGTGGGCTCATTCTTCCTAAGGTCTTTTCTATGGCATTTTCGTACGCTTTCACCACATCTTCAGGGCTCGTGAAGCGAATACCTCGAATTTTATCTTTAGTTTTTGGCAATAAATGAAAGTCGCAGGGCGCCAGGTCAGGACTGTATAGCGGATGACTCATTATCTCGACACCTGTCATAGTCAAATATCCAACAGTCTGTTTTGCAGAGTACGCCGAAGCATTGTCATGGTGAAGGAGGATCCTGCTTCTTTTTTTCCTTGACTTCTTCCTTTCTTTTCTAACTGGCCTAAACATTTTCAGTGTTACCCCCGTAAATTTATCCTTCGGCCACCTGTTTTCTAAAATCCAATAAATATTTTCAAAACATACCAAGGTAGGTGTGGATTTGTAAATTTTAGTAAAACATGCGTCAAATATCTCTGAATATACCTACTCATATCAAACCTCAGACTCAAGAAAGAGATTAAAAAAATATGGACATTTAGTATTTAACATGCTTATATTAGATCGACCTGTATGTAATGGAATCTAAGGTAACTAATTGAACCATCTTTCAAGGATTGTAGTGTAGTTAAAATTGTATGTAGTTCTGATAACAATACAATAATATGGTACTGATTGAACATTAATCTACATAGGGAATTCAGTACTCATACTTAATTAACGCATACTTAATGAAATTATACTTAATAATAAAAAAACTTAATGTTAGATATGAGAGAATTACGTATCATTTAAGGTATATTTAAAAAAAAATGAAACGTATCGGATTTAGAGGACGAGAGGAGGCCAAACTTGGATGTTTTAATTTTTGAAGTTATACTTCTTTAGGCGCATTATAAAAAATGATGAGAGTGAAATTTTAAGATGCGCGCGCATCACTGTTGCAGTGTTGGCGGTTCGGGGCGTTTAAATAAAGCAACTGACTGCGATTAAAGAGAGTATTTATTAGATTACAACGCTATATATATATTGGGAGAGATGCGTGTGTGCATATGTCTAGTACACACACTACACCTCCCCCGTAAAAAGGAAAAAAAAAAAAATTTTTTTTTTATATTGTTGTTGATTCTAAATCACTTTTTAAAAATAATATGAAATTTAATATATAATAATAAGTATATCCGGTTATTAAACATAACATTACAAGAAAGAAAATAATTAAGTACGGAATAAGCTACAATTTTTATATAAAAGGTTACAAGTAAATCTGAAGAATAATATTGTAATACACAATATGTATATAAAATATATTAAACAATAAAAATACTACTGTATAAACAGGAAAATCGTATTGAATACATTCATCAAAAATACAAAAATATTGATATACCTAACAAACACATCACATCTTTGTAAAAATTCAATTACTTATACAGAAATTATATCAATGTTTATTAATTCAAGTCAATTTGATTTCTTTTTAACTTCATTTATTAAACTTTCAAATTTGTTAAACTACTTTTTCTGTTCTCACAGTTAAATAACAACATTTTTTAACAAAATTACTCTTAGAAACATACGTAATTGTTTAGATACAAATAACTGAATTCAACTGATATAAACTCATTTAAAACATCACACTTACATACTTATTTTTGTTGTATAGAAACCACGAAATAGATATAAAATAAATAAAATAATAAAATTCTTTTGCTTTGGTTTAAAAAGAAGAACTCACATACTTATTATCTGATTAAAATGATTCATTATACAAATTAAAAATACAACGTAAAAAGTAAAAAATATCTTCTAAAAAATAACAAAGTAGTTTTATTTTGCCGCAGGACAGATGGTAACAACCCTTTCTTACAGAAAATCTGCTATAGTTTAGAACTTGCCTTATTTGATTCAATATTAAAACATGTTTTTTCAATATACATATTCATAACATAACACAATACATCAATAATGGAAATAGTTCTAAAAATTTATATAAACAATATTTTTTTAATTAAACAATTGAAATAATCTGTCATAATTATAAAATAATTAGTATTAACTTGTTTCTGCGCAACAATCTATTCAATTTCTTTATTTTTCTATACGTTACAATGTGGGGTAAAATACCATTTTAAAAGTTCAAAACATTATTGATAAAGATAACACTTTCATAATAAAATATATAAACAAGTAAGTACACATCAATATATTATACTCTTATATTTTTATTGACTTCTGATTCATATTGGGAGATTGCACTGATTAACGCTGATATTTCATTCGATCACAATTAATTTTTTACGAAATTCACCTTTCTAAAAATATTATATATACTTCATTCAAAAATTTGCCTGACTCCAAAATGAAAAAAATACAACAATCATAGATTTTTAAAACTCATTGTATCTTTACTTTCATAAGCTAAAATTTGATTTTATATTAAAACTACCTAATTTCCTATTCAAATTCTTCTTCTTGGGAAGGCTTAAAATTTTACCTACTATGCCTAAAACGCACGTTATTTTTATGTACTCTACTTAAAAAAACTTTCTTTTTCCTGCCTATCATAATTATACGATTACGATTTATCCTTATCTCATATTTTTCTTTAAAACGAACACCCTTGCATCTATTTTCCAATTCGACTTATTCATTTACTT